GCGTTAAAACGGTTATCCTGATGGCAGTGTTATCGCGCGACTCAAGTCACTGAACATATTCCACGCGCGTAGCCGCAGACAGGGCCGTCATACACATAAGCCCATTAGGACCGTAACCTCCACTAGGAAACCGAAGAAACCCACCCCTGACAGACCGTACCACTACACTGAAGTTCCACGGATATGGTATGATCTCCCGTCTCTACTGCCATCCAACGTCACTTCCCTAGCTAACAAGTTTGACGAGCTGGCAACTACAGTCAGGTCAGCCGCCGCGAGCGTCGTTGCCATATGTGAGGCTTGGCAAATTGTGCCTGAAACGTGTCATATTGAGGGATATCAACTCTTTCATCACCTTCGTTCACATAGACGCGGAGGGGGCGTTGCCCTCTTCTGTCAAGATGACCTACGCCCGTCACGCCTGGATGTTCAAGTCCCAGCAGATGTGGAAGCATTATGGGTACGTGTTGTGCCACGGGCCCACCCGCGCCACACTGCTTCCATCATAATCTGTGTGGCATACCATCCGCCTCGCTCACCCACCAGAGACACTCTTATCAATCATCTCATTACCACCTCAGACCACCTCAGAGTTAGGTACCCATGTGCCAAGTTAGTATTATGTGGGGATTATAATGAAATTGACACCACTGATATCCAGGACCAGCTATCACTATCACAAGTTGTGAACTTCCCCACACACGGTCAAAATACCCTTGACCTTATCTTAACTGACTTAGCGGACCAGTACCAACCACCTCAACCAATGCCTCCTATCGGGTGTAGCACACACTTATCAGTGCTCTGGTCCCCAGCTGCCACTCCCACTCAAGTACAGAGACCCTACATCAAGACCTACAGGCCGATTACTGACTCTGCAGTGCGCCTCTTCGGGCAGTGGATAGTTCACCATCCCTGGACTGAAGTACTTAGCGTGGATGACGTGGAAACCAAATGGATAAATTATACCAACACCACCACGGAAGCTCACCACCACTTCTTCCCCGAGAAGTCCGTCAGATCTCACCCAGCTGACTTGCCCTGGATCACACCTCGGATCAAAAGACTTATGCAACAGAGAGACAGAGCCTTTCATCTCAATGACCACATCCGCTACAGGTCCCTTCGCAACCGAGTCATCCGCGAAATACGCACTGCAAAGAAGTCCCACTACCCAACCAAATTACAACACCTGAAGCAGACCAACATCAGTCAATGGTATGGTAAGCTTAAAGAACTCTGTGGACTAAACAATAAGACACACCCCCTCCCCTTCCTTAGCCATCTCACTAATGTTGACGCAGCTGAGCAAACAAATAACCATTTCGCTACTATATGCCAGACGCTCCCCCGGCTTGACACAACCACTCTCCCTGCTTACCTACCAGCCCCCCTTCCCACTGACTTAGTAGAAGAATTTGAAGTAGCAAAACGCCTGGACAAACTAAAATTAAAACGCTCTACCACCCCCATTGACTTACCAATGAAACTCTTCAAGGAGTTCTCCCCGGAGCTTGCTAAACCCCTATGCTCCATCATCAATGCTTCTCTCAGTCAAGCCAGATGCCCAGCTGACTGGAAGACCTCTTATGTATCACCAGTGCCCAAGTCAACCAGCCCACAATCCTTAAATCAGCTACGACCTATTGCAATCACCCCAATACCCAGTCTAATCTGTGAAAGTTTTGTGTTCGACTGGGCTTATGCTGATATTGCAGGAGTCGTAGACCCTCAGCAATTTGGCAATATGAAAACTTCCTCCACCACTCACTGTCTTGTCAGCTTTCTCGATTACATATACCGCCATCTCGAGAGACGAAAAACGTCTGTAGCTGTCGCCTTCATTGATTTCACTAAAGCATTCGACCTAGTCGACCACAATATAATCATCAACAAAGCTATTGACCTCGGGCTTCGGAGAAGTCTTATACCATGGCTTACAGACTTCCTCAGTGACCGACGCCAAGCTGTACGCTTCCGAGGGGATGTCTCCACCTTTCAGTCACTCACCTGTGGCGTCCCCCAAGGCACCAAGATGGGACCACTCTGCTTCCTTATGCTCATCAATGATGCCCTAAGAGAAACCCCTGCTCGCTGGAAATATGTCGATGACTCCACCATTGGGATCAGCGTCAACAATTCTGCTCCCGACTATACCGCCCTTCAGGATTTATTGAACAGTCTCCAAAACTGGGCCACCAACAACCATGTCACCATCAACCATACCAAGACCATGGTTATGCACATCAACCTCTCCTCCGACATTGTCCCACCTCCTTCCATTACTTTAGGTCCCAACACACTCCAGGTTGTAGATTCCACGAAGCTCCTCGGCGTCACCATAGACAACAAACTAAATATTTAACCACACGTCAGTGAAGTTGTCAAATCCTCCAGTTTCCGTCTCCACCTCCTCCGCCGACTCAAGTCCCTCGGAGTCCCTGCACCCGAGCTCCTGTGTTTACACAACATTCATACTTCCCAAGCTCACCTATGCCTCCCCTACCTGGTCTTCCTCCCAAAATGCCACACAACGTAAACACCTACAAAAAGTGCAAAAGAGGGCATGCAAGATTATTCTCTCCCCTTCCTACTCCACATATCAAGAAGCGCTCAACACACTGACCCTTTCGACTCTCACTGACCATCACCACGACCTCATCTGCAAATTTGGTAAGAAGCTTCTGCACCATCCTCGACACCGGCTCCTACTACCACCTGAGATCCCTAGCCCGAGAATTGCTGTTCGATGCCACAACCGCATCCAGCCTAGGGTTGCCATATCTGAACATTCAAAAAAGAGGACGCTCCCGAAGACATTCCCCCCCCCCGCCCGGCACACACAGGCTAATATACAACACACATGGTATAGAAATCTTAAAAAAAAATTACCTTTGCTTAAGGCTGAACATCTTCATTCCCTTAGCTGCAGTCTTCTTCCCCCACTGTGTGTGTGACTTGATGTGCCCATGCATACTTTTCTGTAGATCGGATCTTTTTCAGTATTGGCTGATTGCTCTTTAGAAAGGTATAGAAGTCACTGCAAGGTGTTTCTCGGAAGTTGTACTGTACGGTCAGAATGCCTTTCATTGTTTCAACACTCAATTTGTTCCTTTCCTTTGTCCATTGACTTTGCATCAGTGAAAAAACTCTTTCTACATTTGCATTGTGACATGATATAGCAAAGAAGAATTGTGCAATTCTTAGCAATTCTGAGTGGCATTCAATGTTCTTTGATTTTTCAAAGTATCTGGTCCACTTTTTATGTGTTGGCAGATTACTAAATTCTTCATCACTCTTGTAATTTTCCACAAACTGCTTCAGGTTACTAACTTGGTCAAAACACTTCTTCAACTTCTACCCCCTTATCAATCAAATATTTGACAGCTAAGTTGACAACACCTACAGGCGTACAAGTGACTTATCAGCTGACGAAAACTGAACGAGATCTCTACGGTTTGCACCTTCCCCCTCTCTCTCTCTCCCGTCATTACAGTTTCATGTTTTTTTTCCGTGGAGAAAATGATGGAAGCTGAAACTCCGGACTTTTGAAGAATTTTAAAAATTCCTTCCGGATGAAGATTTCGAGACCTAAATGGAGGACATGTCCGGGAAAATACGGACGTATGGCAACCCTAATCCAGCCCATACGTGCATGAACTGATCGCTATAAGAACAGCCCAGTCCCAACCATTGTAAAATTTATCAATAACTTGTAATAAACCAGTGTATTCACTCCCAGTAAATACTACTTCTTGCACTGTCACTATGTTGAAATGAACTGTAGTTTGAGCTTTTCCCCATCTAGTTATTATATGTCTTATTTGTATCACTTATGTTACTTGTATATTATTTGTAATTCGAAACCCATTCCCCAAATATGTAACTGTATATTTTCAGCCTTCTGGCTGCCAAGCTCTTTCAATAAACCGTTAATTATTATTATTATTATTATTATTATTAATGCTGCTCGGATTTCCGAAGTGCGGACACATACCAGTACGGTACACCCACAGAGCGAGACCCCACTGTTCTTAGTCTCACAACTGGTTGTTTTGGATTGAATAAGTTGAGAGCAGTAACAAAAGGGGCCATGGCTGTATCACCCCCCTATACTCTCTACACCAATAAATCCCACTAAAGATATTTTACCTAGCAGTTTTACACCTCTTGTCAGGATCTCACTTCACTGGTAGAAGGCTGGATACTTCAATACCAAAATGTTGACTGATTTCTGTCATTTAAGAACAAGGAAAATAAAATAATCTGTACTAACAGTTGATATACAGTAGCTAAATTTTTTATTTAAATGACACAATCTGAGAAATCAAGACTATTGATGTGCTGGAATGTTAAGTGGCCAGGGTTGTACAGCACCTGCTGAGTAAATAACTCAAATCTTTGAAAAAATTCCACATTTTGAGGCCAAAAGATAGTTTTAGCCCCCTCTGCCATAGGTTACCCCCTCATCCCTGCTTTTAACAATGTAAAACTGTTTTTATTTTAACGTAGTTGTCATTTGCAGGCCATTTTCTGGGGATACAAGTCCTGTACAAAATAACAGACTAGTGTACATGCATGCTTGTGTACACCTGTGTGTGTAAACAGTCCTTCATGAAACATAAAAGCATCACAAATCATAAACATAACTCATGCAGTACATATAAATGCAAAATACAGTACTAAGTTAATATTTGAAGCATAATATTTGAAGCAGAGTAAAATCTTAAGGTTTGATTCCTGGGAAGGATGAAACCATAGGCAACTTTCTCTGTAAACCCAGTGTGTGTTCCAGGGTAATGGCTGACCGCAACAATTAGGTGGCTGTGTGTACAGTAGTTCTGAGCTACACCTTAATATGAAAATCATCTTGGTGGCAGTTTTTCCACTTTATATAAATTCCTTTTTATGTGGCCTTATGGTAGCTACTTAAAGCAACATAATAAAATAACACAACACATTCCTATATTTATGGATATTTCCTTAATACATAAAAAATAATGTATGAACAATGTAAAATAATTATGATGATAAAATATGGCAATCCTAAAAGAAACACTACACTGAGGATAATAACTTGTGTTAATCATCCTCACTGTGTAACTTGAGGGCTGATATGTATGTCTTAAGTTTCTGAGTCTCACAGTTATAGCCACAGTCGATGAGATTCCCTTCCTCGTCAAAGTTCTCCTCTTCGTACTCGTCCGCATCGTAGCTCTCGTCCGAGTCGACTGTTAGGGTAGATAAGGTTCTGGTAAATGTTACTGACCAAATTTTTTCATCACATAACTCCTAAACCTTCATTTTTGTTTTTTATCAAATGTTTCTCTTTACTTCAATATCTAGGTGCATTAGTCAGCTCTATGAATGTCTCTCCAAACAAACTAACTGACTAGGAGTATCCAATCATGCTACAGGCCTCACTGGTCACCCTTCATTCTTATGCATCAACTGTGATTTTATACACACACAAACTGGTCACATCTTAAACCCTTCACTACGCCGCTACTTTATTGGCTAACATCAGACCATTTTAATCACATCAGAGGTGGCCCCATACACAAAGAGTTAAGGAAATGTTGGAGTACAAGAGATTCCTGTACCCCCCAACTATAATAGAGGGTGTGAAGAGAACTTTCTGCTTTACTGTCTTATATACATATAAAGGAAGCTAAATCAACATTATATTACGATACATGAGTAATAAGCCTTAAAATATAACCTTACTATTGTATAGGTCAAGTGTTAACTAGTTCATCCCAGTAATTCCCAAGCTCTCTCAACACAGGTCATAAGACTGACAAGTACATCTGTTTTACTGACATATAGTTAAGTACAACACTTGGGTAACTATAGAGATAAATAGCTCACTTTACACACCTCCAACACAGAGATAGGTGGGGAGGGAAGGATAATAGGAGAGAAAATAGAGCTTGCATGAACTAGGCTTTTCTTATCAAATTTTTAAGAGGATATTTGAAATTGCTCTTAACATGACTAAGAAAGGTTTTCTGGGCAGCAGTTGGGTTACAAAAGAAAATAATAAGTCCCAAGAGGACCAAACAGTACAGGAAACAAATATATTATGTATACGATGGTTTTGTTGGGCTGTTCTTGCTCGAATTGTCTTACATTTTAATATAAAGTACCTGTACTATCTATGCAAATAGTCTGCATACCTAAACTATATGTATAAATACAGTAGTTTGTATACCTAAACTGTCTATATAAATACAGTAGTATGTACAGTAGTACTCCGATTTATGCGGTCAATTGAACCCACGGGGTACTGCGGAAAGTGAAAACCGCGTAAAGTGAACAACAGAACATATGGGATTAATTCCAATAGAGACCGGGCCGACCCCCAAACTCCACTTTTTCAGACACAATACCTATGTTGTAGTAAAAATTACATCTTAATTTTATGATAGTATGCACACACAATTAATAATTAAGAGAAATATCAATATTATTAGGTTTTTTAACACTTACATTAGTAGAAAAGATGGCTGGGCACACGGGGATGGGGCAGAGGGCAGATTATTGGCCCTCACCTGTATCACTTGTATCAATTGTATCACTATCCACCACATGGGCTTGCAGGGCCTCTTTGTCAAACCCATCAAAGTCCATATAAGTCCATATTCTCACTATCATTATCACTATTACTGACTTAGGCCGGCTGTGGTGGGTGGCGGGTGAAGAACTCGGTAATGTTTTGATGACTGGGCGACCTTGTGCGCATCCTGCCCGCGCCGCTTCCCGCGTATATGAGTAGATGCACCGCGGAAAGTGAAAGTCCGGTTCTGGTGAGGTACCGCGGAAAGTGAAAGTCCGGTTCTGGTGAGGTACCGCGGAAAGTGAAAGTCCGGTTCTGGTGAGGTACCGCGGAAAGTGAAAGTCCGGTTCTGGTGAGGTACCGCGGAAAGTGAAAGTTCGGTTCTGGTGAGGTACCGCGTAAATGCGAAATTGCGGAAAGTGAAACTGCGTAAAGCGGGGTATTACTGTATACCTAAACTGTCTATGTAAATACTGTACAGTAGTTTGTATACCTAAACTGTCTATGTGAATACAGTAGTTTGTATACCTAAGCTGTCTATGTAAATACAGTAGTTTGTATACCTAAACTGTCTATATAAATACAGTAGTTTGTATACCTAAACTGTCTATATAAATACAGTAGTTTGTATACCTAAACTGTCTTTGTAAATAATTTGTATATCTACACTGTCTACGTAGTGACCAAGAAAATACCATGGACACATCTGGTAACCAGGGTGACCATTTCCAAAAGGAGTTTTCCTTTGCGACATCTACAGCATTTTTTAACCTAAATTAAGCATGTTTAATGAGGAGTTGAAAAATATATAAAAAGTCGTATAAAATATACAAAATATACTGAGAAGAATTGTTGATTTGTCAAATATCACTATAATGTGATGAATGCCATTTTGTGGTCATTTTTATAAAATTTAATTTTTTTTGAAATGCACTGTATATAACACATAAATGCACTCATACAGTATAAATAAAGAACTGAAAGAAATGAATATTCATTTTTACTCCTGCTGAAACAGCAGATGCTAACCAAATTACTTACTTCACAAACTAAAGGAAGTAGCCTATTTACCATGGACTACCAGGTATGGATGTCTATTTTATGCCCTTTACTTGCCATCTCCAAGAGTTTTTTGTTGGCCAGAAATTTTTTGTACATGGCTGGGCACTTCTGAGAAATTGTTACAGATTTGGAGCTCTGCTTTGACTGAGTCCACTTGCAGACAGTTTCTCTCGTTTCTCCTAGCTGAGATCATCATTGAAAAACCTCTTTCTGTGTGAGCATTGCTGCATGGACTAGAGAAGATATAAGCGCTCACCGTCTTCAGGTTTGTGAAAGGGACCTCAGATTTACTGAACAGCTTGAGATAACGTTCCTCATTGCGGCTCTCTACCATCTCAGGAGTATTGATAATTGTCTCCAAATGCCCAAACTCTTCATATAATTCATCCATATCAATATCTTGAAGGTTATAGACCTTGAATGCATCACAGAATTCTCCAAAAGGTATGACACTTGTTAGGCTCAGCTTTGACACTTTGTTATGAAAGCTGTTATCAGAGAAGTCATACCTGTCACATAAGTACTTTATGGAGCTTTCAGAAAAAACAATGAAGTCTGCTTCACATTTCTTAAGACACATCTGGGGTAAGCTGGCTAAGCTTGGTGTTCACTGCAGTCAAAAAAAGTCCTTTACTCTTCTCTCAAGTTTGCTTTTCAGTTCAGCCATTAGCTTAAATACTGAAATTATGCTGAATGTCTTGGCTTCTAGTGCTTCAATAGTGTCTGAGAACAATTTAAGAGTGTGATTGAGGAGGAAGAAATAGATCTCTGACTATTCACAGGCATTTCCTTCATCTCCAAAGCACTTCCACAGTACCTTGGGGCACTCCTCCTCACCTAAACTCTGGAAATAACTTTTTAGGACTTCCCACCAGTTTAGTATTCTGTCAATAGATGGCTAAAGAGAGAGCCATCTAGCCACAACAGATTGCAAATATCAACCTCCACGGATTCACAGAGTTCCTTTAACTGTGCTGTTCTTTGAGCCGAGATGCTGAAATGGTTATACACTTTGAGCATAATATTTTCAACAGCAATTGCCAGTTTTTCTGTAGCAAATCTTGTTGCATTGTGCAAAATATGAGCCATTTTCAGTTTTTGATAAACACTACACTATTGTGTTTTTCAAAGTTTACACTTGTATTGTCAGCAGTGTATGCAGACACTTTATTCAGATCTAGACCCGACGTCTCTAGTTTAGAAAGTAGCCGATTTGTTATGGCCTCTGATGATTATCGCTGTAAGAGTCAAGTACCACATGTTGTACTAGGGTGCGTCATACGGAGGCGAATTTTTTTTTTTTTTTGAAAAATCGGCCCATGGTATTAATGATGTAGTTCTATGTGCAGAATCATGTGATATCTTCAGATTTGAAAAGTTTTCATTTTTTGCTAGGTAAATTTGAACTTGAAATCTTATGAAAATTCAGTATTCCCACCCTTTTACCAACACCACTAAATAGCTTATTTAAAGTAAAGTAAATGTATCAGGTTAATTTATTAGGATGAAAATGATCCAGAATAGTGAAACGAATGATCTTGACACATTTATTAAATTTAATATTCCTTTAGAAAACAAAATCATCAAATGCAAAAACCAGTTTTACTACTACGACCCGGTGTTGCTGCACACCATAGAGAACATGTCTTTCTTGCTTCTGTTTCTACTCATCACCTCCCTGCTGACCACCTGAGCTCGGATGTAGCCTTCCCTCCTCTCCTGGTTGTACATCGACTGCTGGCCCTCGGCCACTTGCACAACGCTTCTATACTCTTGGGTGTGCGAGGGCCAGGCAGGACATGTATGGGCTGTCTAGGAAAGCTCTGACTTGGAACAATACAGCTGCAGGTAAGAGGGGGGCCTACTGCCAGCCTGATGTTACTCAGGATCTATGAGATCAGTGGGGAGGTCTGGCACCTAGATTGATCTTCAGGAGTCTTCCTGACCCTGGAAGGAATCGGGCTACCTCAACTGATTCATGCCCAGATCCTTCCTCATATAAGTCTCTTACATCCAAGATCTTTTTTGACTGCCACTCTTCTCCTCCTTTGTCCTTACTGCAGAGCATTGTCTGCAGAACTGCCTCGGAGGAGCATACCAGGAAGATCTCCCCACAGTCTGCCCACAATCTGAACAACCTCTCCTTGGCTGACTCCTCAGGAGCTCAAGCTGGAAGAGAACATGCCTCGGACCTTCGGAGAACGATGACTTGACCTTGGTGTTGAACCAATTTGACAAGTAGACACTCACGATGAATTGGACAATAAGTCTCAGGTTGTGAAGCTGGTTCCTTTTCAGTTTATGATGAGCGACCCAAATTCTGCAGAACCTGAGAGCCGTTGTGAGCCACCTAGAATGTGAGACTGGACCTATCTGCAGGTAAGTAAGTCTATCAGGCATGACCCCAGTTTTGATGGCACTGCAAATCATGTAACCATAGTACTGGTCAGTACTCAGGTCGTCAATGACAGTATGTGCAAGCTCAACGAGTGGAGGGCCAACTGTGATTTTTTCAAAGCTCGGATTTATTTCTAACTCAGTGGCAGAGTCCAGCATCTTGCCAAGAGGACCAGACCATCTGTTGTTTGAAAGAGTCTTGCCATCCAGCTC